CACAAAGAAGAAGAAAGGTTTTAAATTAATTCCTGTTTCATTCTCTTGGTTGTGTTAAGTTTAACATAATTACAAAAAATAGAGACCTTAGTACGATACCTCTGAGCATTCCAAACAACTGAGCAGTGCTCAACCTTGAATGGAAGTAACAACAACGCACGTTGGTAAATATTTTACAAACTCGGTAAAAGTTCGTAAACAGAAATTCCCTTCGAGACATTTTGCATAAATCGTGTCGATGTTGTTCGTGCAATGGTAAATAAGCCGTATTTTTACTCATCTTAAGAATCGTCTGGTTAACAGGTTTTGAACTAACTCACGGCCCATAAATCGATATGCACAGCTCCTTCATGGTTCAATCCCGGAATTGAATCTTTCAGTAGTTCAACAATTTTTCTTTATTTCAAAGCTTGCTGTCAGCATTATATTATTTCTCTTCTAATTCTCTTCTGATAATTCCCGGAGGAAAGACTGCCTCTTGTGCAAACATAGTCAGTCAAAGATGGACGCTGGAAATTTTCGAAATATCATTTGAATTCGCAAAATCTCTTCTTGCGAACGCAGACATTGCCAGTGTAATAATGCATGCATCCTCTGAATTCTGAAGCAAACAACCCCGAGTGTACTTATCTTAACTATAAATTAATTATACTCACTTGTCAAACGTTTCTGTAAGTGTCTCACTCAGCAGCTTCCCTCCTAAACTCTTTCCAGAGACTTGAGTAAATTGTGCTTACGTTTCACCCGAGATGAAAATCGAAAGCAAAAGCAAATGAGTTTGTGTGTTGATTGCATGATCACATGATGCCCACAGGGCGTTATTGTAACTTTATTAAAAGATAGTCTGCCGTGGCCCTAGCCTTTTTGGGGGCCTTGAACAAAGCGAGCACAGGAGAGGTCTTACAGGAGCAGACCCTGTAGCAGCCGGCTGGCGTTGTTCAAAGTTATTCGAAGAGACGCTTGCACTGAACCGCTTATGACGAGGGCCTGCTCGCAAACTAATAATGTTAAGAATGCGCCTCGAACCGTTACAAAAGCTGCTTCGTTATGAATATCATCAGAAGAACACTTTCTCTAAGATTGCGTGATGCGGGATCAACTTTGCGTGATGTCTGTGCGGTTTCACACTCGATACTAAACGGAAACACGCATGTCACACCGACATTTAAGCAACTTTCTAGCTTTTTTATATATTATTCGACAGAATTCGATAATATTTCCGCAGTAAATCCATTTATACCAAGCCTTACTTGGTTCTATATGGAGTTAGTGGAGTGCGAAAGGTTTAACTTTGGTAGTTGACGTCTTGAATTTCGACTGTTAGTAGTTAGATACAATTCAGTTCAGGAGTTTATGGCAATTGGAAGGAAGACTACGCGAAGCCGTTCCAACTTAAACTATACATTGGGCTCTAAGGACAACCATATTTCATGCCTCCCTGAAAAATAATGAACAGTTTCTCCTTGTCGTCTCAAAAAGGTCCAACAGGAGTACAAGACTGATGGAGTGGTGCTACGGACTGAACAAAAGCGCATCAACCGGCTTACGTCCAATCAAAAAGATCGGATCGTGCTGCAACTGTACGGTTTATTTAACTGTTAACACTGACTTATTTTAATTTCTCTGCACCCGGTGCTTATTAAGATTCTTAATCTATCAATTGTAGATAATTTCTTATGGCCAGTTCTCGCCCTTTTCACGGGAAATAAACCAAGATAAGCAGCTCTTTGAGTCCACATATATTTTCAGAAGCTTTAGTGACGTAGAATTATTTTGAACATCTGCTAGAGTTCTGAATATTGTCCAAACGTTTTTCAACCGGTAAGCAAAAATTCTACTACATTCTGTCATTAGTGTTCCAGGAAAGAAACTGCGATCAGTTTTATGGATAACTGGCTGGTTTAAAAAAAAGGACAATTTTAATTGGTATTACATGACAGAACATCTGACCCACAAAAACTGCGCGATTTCCAAACATCGATTTCATTAAAATGTCTGCCGCTGGAAGGGAGAATGGGACGAGCACCAAAGCGAGGCATTTTAGGATGTTTCCTGTCTAAATAAACATTGCTTCGCGAGCGAACATATACAGAAGGGAACTACTGGTCCAAACGGAGAAAAAGTTGGCTTCTTTAGCTTTCCCAAAGAAGCGTCGTTAAAGAAGGTTTGGCTAGCATAGATAAGACGAGATCCGGGAAAAAATTCAATTTCAACGAGAATGCAAAGGTATGCTCTCTTCGAATTCACTTTGATCACAGTGAGATCAAGCGAGGATACGGCGGGAAAATGTTAACTAACTTAAGTGTAATTTTAGTGAGAGCTGAAATCAGACTAAGACACAATGATGATGTTTTATTAAATTTAAGGACATTTTCTCCTTGCAAAAAGTTGTTATAGATTAGGAAGGGAAGACTTCATAGTAGTTTAGAGGTTGAGTTAATTAGCACACAATCAATTCCGAACATAAGCCTTTTGTCCTTCTGTCAAAGTAAGTAGAGTAATTGTAGGTGGTGTGTGATTCAAATATAGAAAATTGGTGGGACCTGAGTGAAAGGTGAAAAATACAAGAATTTAAGTAGTTGAATGAAAAAAA